ACTGCAGCCCCACTGCAGCCTACACCGTTGCTGGCGACTCACGGCAGCCCAGCTCCAGGTCGAGGCTGTTGCTCACCATCTTAGCTGTAGAGGATGCAGCATCACTGGCCCATTTGGGATCTGAACTGGCGGCTCTGCTGCTCAGAGCTCTCATTTCCAAGCCAACTCTTAACTCACAAGCCACTTGGCCGGCCCGAGTTGTATGAGTTTTTAAATAAATTTTGGATTTTAACCCCTTATCAGCAGTATCATTGGCAAATATCTTATCTCACTTTTGCCTTTACTTTTGCAGACTTCTTTATTTCCAGAATATTTAGGTCAGTATCTTTTCTCCCCACCCTCTTCATTGAGGTTGTTTCATGTTTGTCATACAGGTAGATTTTCTTGTCATGGTCTGCATTCCTTCCTGGGATCCTCCAACATCTTAAATAATTTTCAGAAACTGTGTCTGCATTAAGAGTCATTCTTTTGTGCTGTATGGGTTCTGACAAAGGCAGAATGTCATGTATCCTTTGTTAGAGTATTGTGCTAAATAGTTTCACTGCCCTAAAAAATGCCCTTTACCTATTCAGCTTCTCCCTCCAAATGCCTGGCAACCACTCATCTCTTTACTAACTCTAGCTTTGCCTTTTCCAGAAAGTAAGAAAATTGGAATCATACAGTATGTAGCCTTTTCAGACTGACTTGTTTCACTTAGCAATATGCATTTAAGATTCAAGTCTTTTCAAGGCTTGATAGCTCATTTCTCTTTATTGCTGTTGGGTAATATTCCATTGTCTGGATGGACCACAGCTCATTTATCCATCCACCTACTGAAGGACATCTTGGTGGTGTCCAGTTTTTTGCTATTAGGAATAGCCTGCTTTTTTTCTATTAAAATATTACTCATCTTTCCAATTTTGGTTTTCGTTCCGCTTCATGGGGTTTAACTTTATTAAATGGTCTAAACTGACTCCATCAATTTGAACTTAACATAATTTAATTTTGGTTTTGTAGCAGAGAGTTGTTTACTAGTTTGTGTCCATTATAAGGCGGTAGTGTTCTTTGAAAGCAGTGGATGCCTCTCTTTTCTTCATCTAGCTTTGTAGTGTTTATTATATTGTACATGCCTGGGTGTTGCTTATTAACTTTAAAGGAATGAGTTATCCTTGAGGAAGGGATAGGAGAAGGGAGGAGTGCCTTAAATTGGAACTAGACTTACTCATTGGAAAGAATTTTCCGGATGTTGGGTATGGTAAAGGTTGAAATTTTGAAGGTCATGAGGGTCAGAGAACAGGTGGTCTTTCAGTCAGGTATTTCAGGTGACGTTTTAGTCAAATGTTTGGTATTGTGGTAACACAGGGCATTGTGTCTAGTGGCCTTACCGAGAAGTTCAGGCATTCAGCAAGTACCGAGGTTTCTGGTTCCAGTGCAGTCTCTTTGGTGAGAGACTGGGAGGAGCAGTTCAGGCCATTGTAACCAATTCTATAATTGGTTACAATTGATTTTATTAATT